GTGGTTTATCTAAGGGGCTCCTTGCGCAGTGGAAAGGACTATATCGAGTGTTGCGGCAAGTATGCCTCCTTCTAATGTTCCTCCCAATCCCGGCCCGTCTACAAGAGAACCCTGATGGTCTTCCATTATTCCGAGAGGAGGGGATAATGTGAGGGCCAAGTGTATGGCTACGATGCTGTATACTAATATTAGCGTAGTAAGATTTTAGTAGCCGTCGGATTGGTTTCAATCTGGACCACTCGCTCTTGTATATAAGCTAGGGTATTTGGGCTAATTGAGATGCACATTTTCTGTATTCCCTTTCCATATTCCAAGCACTCACAACTAATGATAGTGTATAAATTAATTAAATTTTGTTAAATTAGATTACTTAAGTATTGTTGTTTGACTAATATGATTAACATCAATGTGAAGTTTTTTATACAATTTAATTAAGGTTTATCTTTGTATGAATTATCAAAAATCCCATTTAAATATAATAAAAATAAATATATATTATTTAAGAATTCAATAGAAGTATGACTTACATGCTTAAAAAACCCTTCAAATTTCATCCATAATTACCTTTTGTTACATATTTTGTTGAACTTAGAAAAACTAAAAGCTAATATGATCCTTTATTTACAGTAAAACAAAGAGCCATATCAACTTATAATTTTTCCAGGTGCACAGCAATGTGATGCTCTTTAACCAATTTTTGCAAAATATGGCCTTCTCCAATGCTAGTAACAACATTGTGCCAGTGCCATTCTCCACCAACATGGGGCTCTACAAGCTGTGCATGTTGGGGATCTCGGCAAATTTGATTGAAATGGATGTTGGCATGATTTCCACTCGACATGGATGGACATCAATCTCGCATGCTCACTGTTAGGCACCAACTTTGACTATGTGGTCAACGTTGGTCAAAGGGAGGCTCAAGGGTATATTAAAGCATGTTAGGGTAAGGGACTTAACCTACCCTAGGGCTCACAAAGGAGCGGTGGCACAGTGGAGCTTTTGAGGTAGCTCGGGGGTGGTTGGGTGGTGAGGAACCTCAAGAGGTGGCGTAGCATAGTCTAGGGTGACTAGATCTCTGTCTTTTTGCGCCGGATCATAATATTGGTATCGGAGCCCAGTTCGATTCTTGTGGCTGACAAGTGGGGCATGAATATTCTGAAGGAATATTCAACATGGTGGATCTAGAGGGAGAACCAAGGTTTGGTAGACCCTAAAAGAAGGACCATAGTGATCAGAGGGTGGCCTAAGTATGATCGCGGACGATCATTCCCTGACGAGGGGGAGGATTGTTAGGCACTAGATCAGGATAATAGGATAAAGAAAAGGCCCTACAATCAAGTGATCACCCCTTTAGCCAGTTGGCTTAGGGTGTAAGGGATAGGATCCTAACACTCACCCATGTGGCCCAATGGCAGATTCATCATGTTTGGGCACAATTACTTTAATGGAGCCAACTACCAATTTGTGCATAAGGTGGTGGATCTCTTTGTAGATCTCAAGGGGCTGTGGGTGGAGTGAAATGGGCAGCATTGAATCTACAAGAAGATTGATGGGAAGAAGCCCAAGCATTGGAAGAAAACAAATAGAGGAAAGGAGGAATTGCCTCTAGGAATATACTTGCTTGTTTTTTAAGTAATACCACCTCAAATGCTTCTTAATTTCTCCCTTTAAAGAAATTGAGGATATTTAATTCTTTTAAAGGAATTAAAATATACTATATAATTAATATTCTATTTAAGCTTATTATTTCTTAAGTGGTGAAGAACTTTTCAAGTGGATAAAATATCAATGGTTTCTTCTTTATCACTTGTATTGTCACTTATATCCATTCTCTATTTAATTATATTTTTCTCTGTCCTATTTAAAAGTAAATTTATTATATTTCTAAAATTTACTAGTTATATTATGGTATTTTTACCTACTCCCAATAAATTATATTGATTGGATATGTATATTAAGTATATACTATTAATAAAATAATTTAGTTATCAAATTTTCACTAAGAAAAAATATAAAGACTGATAACTTCATTGAGCTATTTATTACTCTCTTGATTTAATATTGAGAAAGATGCCATTAAAAGGGGTTTTATTTCTAGCCTCATTTATAGCTTAAGTAGCACTCTTAGTGAAGCCATAGTTTATATACAAAAGTAAGTGGTCTAAATTGTAGTCAATCTGATGACTATCAAAATACCACTATACTAATATTTATATACAACATCATAATTATACACTTAGACCTCACATTATGTTTTTAGAAGGATGAAAGGTAGTTAAGGTTTTCAGGTTGATAGGCTAGGATTTAGAGGAACATCAAGAGGAGGCATTGGTGGATCTGTAGGTGGTGCTTGATCCCTTTATACAAAGCGTTTAAGTTATTGCATATCTAAAGGATTGGTTTGTTGAATATTTTACCAAACCTTATAAATGTGTAGTTTAACTTACCACAATATTTAATATGGTTTGTTCCACTGAATAAGGAGCCCCTTAGACAAACCATATATTGTAACATTAGGAAAATGAATTAATACCAAGTCATCCACTTTGTATTTCACTGATGGATAATGATGGAAGTTGCTGTGTTGTTATTATCCCACTTATATATAGCCTAAATGCTCAATAAATTCCACTCAAACAAATGGAAGAATGCTTAACAAATATTGATCCCAAAACCTAGCATCGGTAGTTTATAACAATCACAAAGGTAAACTTAACTTTGTTGGCAGTATCAAATAATAACCATATAAGAGTTAATATGGTGAAGCACCAATGGAATTTTATACCCTCGTAATATATATATATATCAAAGAGATACCAAATATTCCGCTCAATTTAAATGTTGAAAGTTCATATATTTTGCAATCATCACTTTAAAGGTCAGAATAAGCCATTCCTAGAAATTTGGGTAAAAGTCTGTGTGCTAAAAGTTTGTACTAGAAAAGAAAGAAAGAGGAAAAGAAAATAAGAGTGAAAGAGAAAAAAAGGTAAGAGTAAAATGGATGTTTGCTACTACACTTGTTTGACTTGATTTTGCATTTTGCTCTAGACACAAATAAACACATAAAAAGTAAAAAAGGAATGACTTAAGTCCTTCAATCTCTAAGAAGGCTTTTGTTGAAGTTATGAGCAAATAAAGTTAGTATCACTTGAGTACTTTAGATTTTGAGCATATGGATATGCATTAATAATAGAAGGCTAAAGTACAAAAGAAAGGGATAGAGTTTGTGTTAACTCACCCCTTTAATTAGTTTTACATAGGGCATTCCTATTCTTGAGTCTCAAAGTTTGAATCTCAAGACTTAGGATGATGTTTTTAAATATAAAGTTGATTTTCTATGGTCCACTTTTCTTCCATGATTGAGTTGAGTTTCATCTTGAAGCTCTCACTTCTCCATGGCATTAAGCTGTTTTGTTACTGCTATGATTCCAAAGAGCTCATTCTTGAACTTGTTCTTCTATTGTAGTGCACCCTATCTCTACAGCTGGATTTCATTGCAAAGTTCTGTATTCTCCTTGGGGAGTTCCTCGTTCATGTGCTAAGTCTTTGCGCATACAGATCCCTAGAAAGCTGTACCTCGAATTCTCCTCTTGTGCTGGAGAATATGGTTTTGGATGTTTGAGAGCTTTGCATCTAGAGGCTGGTAGACAAAGGTGTTGATTGGACTCTGTCTCACATGAAAATGTTCATCTGCTTGTCGTGGAAAAGCCTTGGAAAATCTGCTGGTATCAACATCTGTAGCATTGGCTGGAAACAGTGCATTTTGTCCACAAACTGGAGAAATGTCAAGCTTAAGATCTGGTGTAAGCTCAGGCTTGCAGCATCACTCCTGCTCGGGATGCTCTCAACTGTGGTGTTTGTGGTGATGCAGCATGTTGTCGGTGTCAGCGTTGAGAGCTGGTTGTGTTAGTGTTGCTGTGTGCGGTGGAGATGCTAGAGACTGCTCCTATTGGATCATGTTCACATTACACTTTGGTTTGACGACTGTAAGTTTGGAACCTCAAGGTGGTTACATGTTCAGGATCTTGTTCCTGAGTCTTCTCCTGAATTTCCTCACCTTGAGCTTTGTGATCTTTGTTGTTGGTTGTTCCCTTGACAACTTTTGTGCTTTTGCGTGTAGATGTTGCCATGCGTCCACATCTATCACACGCTTTCCACAATTCATCAACAGGAGAGCTTCCTTAGCTTTTATAAGGAACTCTGACCGACGCTTTTGGTATTGGTTTTCCTCACTGCCAAATGCAACAGACTTGACTCCTGCCATAGGCCCAATGATTGCGATAAACTTCTGCTTGTATGACACTCTCTACAACTACTGGAATGCTAAAAGTTGGATTTCTTTTTAGTTTCCCTGAGAAATTTTTGGAAAAGACAGAGCAGCATCGCATTGGTAAACACAGTTTTGACAAGCTTAGGCCTCCTGGCGTTACATGTTTACTTTCAGGCCCGAGTAGGATGGTGACGAGCTTGATCTCCGGTGGAGTAGCAGGAATCGCTGCCTCAACAGGTAAGAGTCTTAAGAGCGTGATCGCCATAGTTCCTGTTTTCAGCGGTGTTTCCGATCGACTTAACTCGAGGGCGACCGGAGATGGACACCGGCTTACAAGCCTGGGATTGCGAGCGCGCTGAGGCACATTGTTCGCACCCAAGGCTACGCTGGGTTGTACAGGGCGATTTTTCCCGAGTACCTCAAGGTTTTTCCATCCCCGATTCATTTCCAACCGTCAGATATTCTTGAATCGACGGCCTTGGTTGAATTTCCATGTTGCTAGCAAATGTTTAGGGTTCTTGCGATGGATGAGTCTTGGCGACGGCAGCGATTCGATGCGCCGCACCAGCATTCGCTCCTTCGGCAGCGCCGCCGCGGGCGCCCGATCAGCAGGTGTCGGCGTTGAAGGTCACAAGGGATTTGCGCAAGGGCAATTTGCGCCTGGGCGATCCACGCCCAGGCGGCGGAGAGCAAGCAGCTGGGGATCCATGTTGTCAATGCGCTTGTGGACATGTACGCGAAATGCGGCAGCATGGAGGATTCCCGCCGTGTGTTCGACAGCATTCTTCACCCAAACGTGATGTCCTTGATGCTGGGCAGCGATCTTCGAGAGGATGCAAGCCAGGCGGTCGGGCTGCAAGCCAAACTCCAAGACGCGGCAAAGGCTTGTAGCAGCCTCACGGCGAAGGAAGACGAGAAAGCGAGGTCGCTCTCGAGTTCTTTGGGAAAATGGACTGCTCGCCAAAGTCTTGGACTTTCGTTGCTGCTGCCAAGGCCTGTGCGAATCTAGCAGTGAAAGAGGAGGCCACCAAAAGATGGTGAAGACGAAGAGCCTGGAAAAGGGGCTCGCTGTTCACGATGGAGCTGTGAAAAGCCACTGCTGTGGAGATATCTTCGTGGGAAGCAGCCAAGTGACATGTACTCAAAGTGTGGGAGCATGGTCGACGCGCGGATGGTTTTCGAGAGCATGCCTCGTCGTGATGTCGTGCTCTGGACGAGCTTGATACAAGGCTTTGTGGACAACGGGGAAAGCGAGCTGGCTCTCGTGTTCTTCGAAGATATGAAGCTATCTGGGTGCTGTCCAAGCTCTCGGACGTGTGTTGCTGCGCTTGCCGCCTGTGCGAGCTCGGCAATGCGAGAAGAAGCGGTGGATGTCGACGGCAAACTCGTGAAGAGAAAGAGCTTGGAAACCGGGGTGGCTATCCACGGTGAAGCTTCAAACAACAGGTGCTGTGAGGACGTGTTCGTGGGGAACACTCTGATCGATATGTACGCGAAGTGTGAGAAGCTAGAGGAAGCTCGCAAGGTCTTCGATGGCATGGTTGGCCGATGTGAGTGGAGACAGTAAGCTGGCCTTGGAGCTGTTCTTCGGCATGGCTCGGGAGAACGATCCGGACGAGAGAACGTTTGTTGCTGCGCTCATGGCCTGCGTCCACCTTTCAGCGTCCGAGCCACCTGTTCCGTGAGAAGATGGAAAGCTAGTGCGAATCCAGAGCCTAGAAAAGGGGATGGAGATTCATTCTCTCGCCGCGAAGTTTGGACGCTGCGAGCACAGATTTGTCGGGAGCAGCTTGGTGGACATGTATGCCAAGTGTGGAGATATGGTGAAAGCTCGAGCAGTTTTCAAACGCATGCCTAGCCGGGACGTTGTCGTTTGGACGAGCTCGATACAGGGATATATAGACAACGGTGAGAGTGAGCTCGGGCTGGAACTCTTGGAGTGGACTGTGCTCCAAACTCTCGGACTCTTGTAGCACTTACGGCCTAGCTGGAAGGAATCCAGGCTGAGCTTTACAGGCGTGGGCTGGAAGACGATCAAGTTGTGGGGAGTAAACTTCTACAGGAAGTGCGGAGTTATGAGTGCGGCCGAGCACTTGTTTGGATCTCTGGCAGTCCGAGATATCGTCGCCTGGAATGCACTGATCACGGGATTCGGCCAACAGGGTGACACGTCGCGCGTGTTCGAAGCCTTTCGCGAGATGCGAGAAGATGGCGTGCGAGCAAACGCAATCACATTTGTCTCGGTCATCACTGCTTGCAGCCACGGCGGCATAGTTGAACGAGGCAGGGAGTTTTTCCAGGCAATGGACCCGGACTCTGGCATTGTTTGCGGGATTCATCACTACAGCAGCTTGGTGGATCTCGTAACCGACTGGAAGAGGCCTTGAAAGTCCTCGAGAGCATGCCTTTGAGAGCGGATGCTGTGGTTTGGAGGAGGGCCTGCCGTAAGTGGAAGTGGGGAGGATTGCGTTCGAGGCACTGACGAAGATCGACGAGAATGACTCGGCTGCGTACGTTCTGATGGCGAGCATCTACCGGAGCGCGGGGCTGTGGGAGGATCATGATAAGCTCAAAACTATACAGGAGGCGGCCTTGAAAGCAGATAAGAAGAGTTCACTTCATCAAGCGGTCACACGATGGTGATGGATTACGAACTGGAAGGTAGAAAGGACGGCAGCAACATGGTGGACGAGCTAGAGATTTGATTGCCAGCATGGGAATGAGCTCTGTGGTTTGCCGCAAAGTAGGTCCAGAAGAACGCGTTGAAGAAGGCTGCCACGAAGATCGCAACGCTGACAAGTGTTATCACCTCTCTTTGGTCCTGTTCGCTACCACCTTGTCCCTCTGTTCTAAGCTTATGTGGCGGCATAGCAGTGCTCGAACAGGTGTTGGTCAGTGGCAAGCCACAGAGCTGATTCCCAGCGAAGAGAGCCGCGTCCATGGACGAGAGTTGCGGGCTGTCAGGTATCCGTCCCACCAGGCTGTTGTTGGAGACGTCGAAGATGGTGAGAAACGAGAGGTCCGCCACGGACGATGGTATGGAGCCATTGAGACGATTCCCCGCGAGCCACACCTTGGAGAGATTCCTTGCCTTCCCCAGGGACTCGGGAATGGGACCTGTTAGCTGGTTGTGTCTCAGGTCCAGCACCTGGAGCTTGTAGAGGTCGCCAATGGCGGCTGGAATGCTTCCAGTCAGCTGGTTGAAGGAGAAGTCTATGAAGGTCGGGAAGGCGAAGCCGTTGTAGACGAGTCCTCCGGTTTGAATCATCATATGCCGTTTGCTCTTGTTGTAAAGCTGGACGTTGGCAAACAGTCGGCCAATGCTTTCCGGCATCTCCCCAGAGAACCTGTTAACCGAGAAGTCCATGGCTCGTAAGTTCGTGAGCCTGGGAAGCCAGTCCGGTATGGAGCCACTGAATCTGTTGTTTTCGAGGATGAGGAACTGCAGAGCCGACATGTTTTGCAACATGGCCGGGATTGAACCGACAAGATCGTTGCTGGAAAGCTCCAGAATGAGCAGGCGGCTCAAATCCCCGAAGCTCTCAGGGAGATTTCCAGAGAACTTGTTCTTTCCCAGCCAGAGAACGACGAGCACGGTGCAGTTGGAGAGTCCGGAAGGGAGCTCCCCGCCGATGTCGTTGCTGCTGAGAACTAGCTGCTGGAGATGTGAGAGCTTCGAGAGCTCGCCTGGGATTGTTCCAGTCAAGTAATTGCTGTCGAGGCGTATCCCTCTGATGTTCGAACAGTTTCCAAGCTCCGGAGGTATGGCACCACTAAAACGATTCCCCGTGAGAACCAGCAGCTGGAGATGCGAGAGCTTCGAGAGCTCGCCTGGGATGGTGCCACTAAAACGATTCCCCGTGAGAACCAGGATCTTCAAGTTCCTCAAGCCTCCCAGCGTAGCCGGGATCGTTCCGCTAAACCAGTTTAGCCCGAGGTTCAAAACCTCGATGCTTGCAAAGTCGCCATCTTCCAGCTCCAGTGGCCCGGAGAGAGAGTTGTATGCAGCGCGTAAATCCGAGAGCTTGCGTAGCCTTCTCAAGCTCGGTGGCAAACCACCCTGGAGCGAATTGTTGGAGATACCCATGTACCTGAGCTCCAAGTTCTTGCTCCAAATATCGGGTAGATCTCCTCTAAACCTGTGATACGATATGTCCAGGCGCGTCAAGTTCGTCATCTCCCCGAAAGTTTCTGGAATGGAGCCGCTGAGTCCGTTGTGCGAGAGTTCCAGTGCCACCAATGGAAAAGCTCCCAGTTAAGTTGTTGATGGACAGGTTGAGCGATCGCAGCGTCAAGCTAAAGTTTGGGAGTCCGGCCACTGTGAAGAAGTTCCCACTGAGGTCCAGGCTTTCCAAACTCTCGAGGCTGGAGAGATTTCCGGGGAACTCTTGCAGGGAATTGGAGCTCAAGTTGAGGAGGTTGAGCTGCGTATTTTTGCAAAGGACTTCCAGCGAGGAGAGGCCGTTTTGCGAGAGGTCCAGGCGAGCCAGCGATGGAAGCTCGGCCCAGGTGGCAGGAAAAACTCCCGAGAGATTAAACCTGGACAGAGCGAGGCCCTCCACTTGGTTGTCCGAGCTCCACTCCACTCCCCGCCATGCTCTTGGATTGGCAGTCTCGTTCCACACTTTGATGCCAAGCCTGTCACGGAGAGATGCCAAGCTCCCAGATGCTGAAAACAATCTTGGCATTCTTGATCCTCAGGCACTTCTCTCGCAAAGCCACACCTAGAGTTTGCACATAATCCTCTTCGCAGTGGGGATGGAGCTGTGACTCCGGATCATCCTCCAGCTCGGGATCCCCTTGAGTAGTCCCAGCGCTCACATACTTGGCCTGGAAACAAATTTTAAGTTGTAATTTGTGATAGCTTTATAGTTACTCAAATTTAAGTTGGAGATTATAGTTGTCCCTTACAACTAAAATATAAATCATAATTTGTAGTAACATATTCTTTAAAGCTAGATAAGCTCATATATGTTGCTAATTAGAGTTGCAATTTACAAATTTTAAACTATGACTAAAATGTAAGTTCTTAAGGTTTGTAGTTCCAAAAGTTTTAGTCATAAATTTCAACAATATTTACATTAACTAAATTACTAATAGCAGTATAATGTACCCATATAATTTCCTAATAAAAGAACTTTGTTTTCTTCCTCAGATCTGTATTAAGTTTTTTGTTTAGGATTTAAGAATGAGAGTTGCATGTTAGTGTTTAAGGTGTAGAAGTAATTATATTTACCTTATACAAATTATCATAAATCATATTCGTCTTTATGGTAAACATCCTTTAGCACCACATGATGCATGGTTTTCAATGGAAGATATTCAAGGGATTAGATTATGCAGATCTACTACTTTAGTATAACAATTTTTTGAAATTGATAAAAGCCCTATAGTTCCAGATGATTGTTATATTAATTTGAGTGGTGGTAATGGTAGTGGCAATGATGATTTTGAGAATGATAATATATTTAATTATTTTTAAAATTGCTTACATGGAAATGAAGACAATTTATTACCTATTTATAAAGGGGCAAGTGCTTCTATTTTGTTGGCTTGTTTAAGGATTCTATATCTGAAAGTTATTATCGGAATATCAAGCCAAGCAATAGATCATTTTGTAAGGTAATTAATTTTTATTTATTATTTAGTATTGAATTTTTAATTATTTGGATAAAGGCTCTTTAAAAAAATGTTGCCTACAAATAAAAGTTTTCAAATAATTATAAGGAAGTGGTAAATATCGCTTAACATAATGGACTTACCTATAAAAAGATTGATTCATGCATCAATGATTTCATGTTATTTCATAAGGAGAATAAGGACCTTCAATTTTGTCAAATTTCTATTCCTAGCAAGCACAAAGATTTTAGCAATTATATACCTGAGACAATAATGCACTATTTCTCTATTATACCTTGATTTCAATAATAATTTCAATGTAGAGAAATAGCACAATATATAACTTATCATTTTATCATCAATCCACTAATGGAATAATGAGAATGCCTGCAAATGGTTCAACTTAAAAAAAATCGAAGATGATTACCCAAATTTTGCAGTAAATCCAAGAAATATACATCTTACTATGGTTGCAAATGATCTTTCTCTAACAAAATTAATAGCAAAAATATAGGAAATTGTTGCAGTTAATAATAATATACCACCAACTCTAGCAATTAAGCCTTCATTTATATTTCTTATTATGATTATACCAGGTATTAGTTTATAAACTAAAATGAAATATTTACATTTATAATTTTTCTAGGTCCAAAAATTTAATATTTATTAGTTATTATTTTAGGAAGAGTTGAAACAATTAAGGGATGGAGTGCCATTAAAAAATAATTCTAAGCTAAAGGGTCAATAGTTTTTAAAGCTTAGAGAAGCAATATGATAGTTTATTCATTTATAATTTTGTTCAAGACTTCAAAATAATGGGAAAATACTTTTACCTAGACTGTGGACTTGGATTTATTGGAGTATAGTCATGAAATTTATAAAAATGCATATATAATGGTCATTGGTGTTTCTTACCTATGGATCATTTATTGGCTTACATGGAAATGAAGGCAATTTATTACTTATTTATAAAGGGGCAAGTGTTTCTATTTTGTTGGCTTGTTTAAGGATTCTAGATGTGCAAGTTATTACTGGAATATTAAGAAAAGAAACAGATCATTTTGAAAGGTAATTAATTTTTATTAATTTATTATTTAAATTTATTAATAATTTTATTTTATCTCTATTATACCTTGACTTCAATAATAATTTCAATGTAGAGAAATAACACAATATTTAGCTTATCATTTTATCATCAATCCATTAATGGAATAATGAGAATGTCTGCAGATGGTTCATCTTAAAAAAATTTGTAGTAAATCCAAGAGATATACATCTTGCTATGGCTACAAATGATCTTTCTCCAATAAAATTAATGGCAAAAATATATTCATGTTAGGCAATTGTTGCAGTTAATAATAATATACCACCAACTTTAGCAATTAAGCCTTCATTTATATTTCTTATTATGATTAAACCAGGTATTAGTTTAAAATAAAATGAAATATTTCTATTTATAATTTTTCTAGGCCTAAAACTTCCTAGTACCTAATATTTATTGGTCATTATTTTTGGAAGAGTTGAAACAATTATAGGATGAAGTGCCATGGAAAGATAATTCTAAGCCAAAAGGTCAACAGGTTTTAAAGTTTAGAGAAGCAATGTGATAGTTTATTCATGATTTTCCTGGATTATGATTTTGTTCAGGACTTCAAATTAATGGGAAAATACTTTTACCTAGACTGTGGATCTAGATTCTTGGAATATAGTCACAAAGTTTATAAAAATGCATATATATTAGTCATTGGTGTTTTTTACCTATGGATCATCTATTTAGGTCTACTAATAGAATGTAAGATTTTAGTTATTATTTCTAAAACACAAATTAAATTCTAATTTTAATTAGTTTATTTAATGGCCATAATTATATTTGACCAATACTAGGATAGATGACTCCAAAACAATAGGCAACATATTATTATTTGGTTAGACAAGAAGATCAAATATCATTATCTAATGATAAAAAATGATTATATTCACATTTTATCAACTTCCATTTTTTATAAGTTGCCAGTAGCATTTTTAAAGGATTATATGCATATATTTAAGAATGTTTTTGAAACTATATATAAAACTATTACTAGTAAAAATGATGAATTAAGTACTAAAAAATATTTAATTATGTGCAGAATAAAGGAAAATATGTGGCTGTGACGTAATGGAAAAATTGATCATGGAATTTGGACATTAACAATTTATCAAAATAAATTATTTATTGATAATATAGAAGAATCTTAGGGTTTATAAGTTTTTGAATGGGAAAGAGAAAGAAGGACGAGGGCGCTGCCGCCGCCAAGGGCCAGGCGATCATCCCCAGCTTCTTCAAGCGAGGTGAGACCGATGCATCGCGGGCTCCCACACTTGTGTGGCCATCGCCGTATCATCTCAGGCGATCAGCCGAGAATGCGGCCAGCGCGAGTAAGAAACGGTGCTTGAATTTAGATGTAGACGCCGGGTCGGGCGATGGGAAGGATGCCGATTGCGGAGTATCGGGGGAAGCGATTAAAGACAGGCGTAGAAAGTTTGTAGATGTTCTTCTTGGAGAGGGGGACAGGGATGGCGGTGGTGGAAATCCCTCCTTTTATGGAAAGCCGCCGTCAAGGAAGGAGAAGCTTACTCCTCTGGAGCAGCAGATTGTGGAGCTCAAGAAGAAATTCCCAGACGTCCTTCTCATGGTCGAGGTGGGATACAAGTTTCGATTTTTCGGAGAGGATGCGGAGAAAGCAGCCAATGTTTTGGGAATCGTTGCTTACTACAGCCACAACTTTCTCACTGCCAGCGTTCCAACGTTCCGGCTGCACGTACATGTGAGAAGGCTTGTGGAAGCTGGCTACAAAGTTGGCGTTGTCAAGCAGACCGAGACAGCGGCTATCAAAGCTCACGGGACGAACAAGGCTGGCCCGTTCTCGAGAGATCTCTCGGCGCTATATACCAAGGCCACGCTCGAGGCGGGCGAGTTTCTTGGGGGAGAAGAGAGCGGGGAAAGGGATGGACCTATTCGTCTGAGCAGCTATATCATGTGTGTTGTGGAGGAGGCAATCACCGAGCGCAAGGCCAACGCTGGAAAGGATGAAGTGAGGGGAAGTTTTGATGCTAGATTTGGGGTGGTGGCCGTGGAAACCTCGACCGGAGACGTGATGTATGGTCACTTCATGGACACTGTCACCAGGACGGAACTGGAATCACGGTTGCTTGCGTGTGCTCCCGCAGAACTTCTTTTATCTGCGTCCTTGTCCGCTTCTACAAAGAAGGTAAGCTGTTTTCTTTTCTCTGATCGGGTTGTATATGAATGATGGTGATTTTTCTATAGTTGTTGATGGACTATGCAGGCGCAGCGGATGTTCGAGTCGAGAAGACGCCTGAGAACTCGTTTGAAAATGGCGGTCCTGTTGCTGCTCTTGCGGACTTCTACGGGAGCTTGGCGCCTTCTAAGAAAGGCTGTCTGGACGAGAAGGTTGATGGAGGGCTGGAGGTGATTTTCTAGTTGTCTTGATTACACTATCGGATGAGAATTGAAGTTTGCAGGCGTTGATGACGATGCCAGAAATCGTGGTTGCTGCGTTTGCGCATATATTTGC